CAACATATTCAAGATATTTACAAAACAATAACTTAGAGATCATTAGAGGATGACGACTTAAGAGGTTGACAAATAAAATAGGTAAATGTGGGATACAAGAGTTCAGACAGTATTATTAGATATTAACAGTGATAGTGATTAGTGATGACATGGAGGCTTAAAGAAAAACGTGTTAAGTGATATTTTAAACCGATATAAACAAAGGACAGGTGTAGTAGGCCATCAATAAATCTTCATTCATATTCTACTTTTGATAGTGTAGAATATTGTATAAATTACCAAAATATGTAGAGCCAATGCGAGTGTCATAAGAAATGTAATTTCTCATGTCAAAAATACAAAACTATTTCATCCCAAATACAGTTGTCCCTCTATAGTCCGACGTTTTTTAATCTGACATGCTCAGTAGTCCGACGCATCTGCCGTCAAGGTACCCGTCCCCGTTACGTGTCTGCTTGCACAGAAGCATGTCGCAATGTGAATCTCCCCATCCAATTCTTACTCGATGACACACATTTCGTGTGTTTTATGTGAGCAGTTCTGTTCGAACAGTTGGAGTAGAGAATATTGTAAGTTACTGCTAGCAAAACAATGCGAAATATGTAATTATTTTCGGTAATCCGGACACTTTTGGTAATCTGACACACCTTTGGTCCCATACCTGTCGGATTATCAAGGGACAACTGTACTATTTCTCACTATACTAAATCAAGTAAAATTGTATAGCACACTTTATGTAGTGTTAAAGTTAATAAATTATTTAAAAAATAGTTTGCCTTTATCTGGATTAAATTTCTATGGCTATTTAAATGTATCAGAGGATAAGCTATGGTTTTCCTAATTACATTGTAATACATATGTAACAAAACAAAACAGTAAAATGCAAATTTATTTACTTATTTCACCTATTTATTAAACACATATATTATACACAGAACATTATGTACAAAACTTTCATTCACAATATGTAGCAATATAACAGTTTTAAACATTATAAGAGCACTTCTTGTCTTGAAAACTGTTGAAATTAATATCTCAAATACTACATTACAGATAACAGAGACTTATTGCACTGTTACTGGTAACATAAAAATGAAAGATTACATTCTGATGATAGAAGTGTCATTTTTATGTTACCAGTAGCAGTGTGATAAGTCTCTGTTATCTCTATTATAGTATTTGAGATATTAGTTTTAACAGTTTTAAACAGATCTCTATTTAAAACCTGGATAAATTAAATCAAAAATATAACTATTTTTGATTTATCTACATCCTCATCTGTAATTTAAAATCATCATCTTATTAATTTTTTTTATAAACTAAATACACTTTTTCTTTCTTTATACATGATATAAAATTAAAAAATGTAATTATGAATAAGATTTTTTGACAATAGTAGAAAAAAGTTATAAAAACTACTTACTAACCAAATAGATAAACAAACTTCTTCTAGCCATAAAGTGACTCTATGAAAGTCAAGCATCAGATTATTGACAAACTATTTCTTTTAAAGTGTGCCAGAAATGTTTTATTTATACCTAATATAGGTATGTACTGTACTTGCTATTCTATTAATAAAATACCATATTTCCAATCAAGCATATTACTATTTACTATATATATTGGGTTGTTCGGAAAGTAAGTTCGTTTTTTTTCTGTAGAAAAAAACGCAATATTCTTATGATAAATAAATATTTTATTGAATTATATGTTGACCATTTTGGTCAAATACCTGTTGTCATCGTTTCTGGTAGTAGCATGATTTCACATTCATAAAAGTTTTGATCGTTGCTTACAAAAAACTGATCCAAGTGATTTTTGACATTGTCATTTCAAGTAAATGTCTTACAGTTAAAAAAAATTTGTATAGACCGGAACAAGTAATAATCTGAGTGTGCTCGATCTGGCGAATATGGTTGGTGTGATAGCACGTCCCATCTAAGTTATAACAGTTTCTGACGAGTTACCAAACTTGTGTGAAATTTGACATTATTGTGGTAAAACACTACAGCTTTTTTTTTTTTATCAATTCTGGCTGGCTTTTTCTGTTTGATGATATTACGCAATTTGTTTACTCGAATGCAGTACACTTTCGAATCAATTGTTAAATTGTCTGGTAAAAGCTCCAAAAAAAATTTCCTTAATATCCCACCAAATAGAGCATTTCTCTTTAAGAACTCGTGGAATTCATATATCGAGCTTTGAAACGAAACCAATTTGTTTCAAGTAATCATAAACAGTTCAATTTGACAAATTTAATCTCTTAGTGATTTCACGTGTTGTTATTCCGCAGTTTGCTTCAATCGGTACTTTTATTTTGTTTTCATTGGCTTCAATTGGCCATCCATAACGTGGTGCATCTTCAATACTGAAATTGCGAGAACGAAATTTTGTAAACCAGTTTTGGCACTGTCGTTCTGTCAACACATCTCCACCATACATGTCACACGATTTTTTTCTTGCTTGAACGGCATTTTTATTTTTTTGGTAATAAAAAAGCAAAATATGCCGAAGTTGCTGCTTTCGATCTTCCATATTTGATGGGACACAAAAAATAAACAATAGCACGAAATCAAACAAAATTTTTTATAAATAAGCCATAAAATGCTAGCTGTCAAAATATATAATGATAATACCGGTTTAGAACGAAAACTGCGGGAAAAATACCACTAATCCGTCTAGTGGTAAAAAAAAAAACGAACTTACTTTCCGAACAACCCAATAAATCTCAAAATTTGTCTATCTCAAATTTTTTCTCATTTTCGTGAGATTCAAGATAGACAAGTTCAAGTGTATATTAAAAGTATTTTTGCAAATATTCTACTGCTTTCTTTTAAAAATTTTAAATAAAAGTTCAGATGTAAAGATGAAGTAACAAATGGAATGAAAATAATAGAGAGGTTGCGGCGCAAGTTCAAATGTTACTTGTACACGGTAAGCAGAAGTACACGGTTTATGTTCTAACTCCAAGAAAAAATCATTGCAGCGCACATTCACATCACATGACTCAGTGAACGTCGTGCATTGACTCACGGGAAATTTATTGAAAAAATGGCAGATACATTTAACATCGAGGGTTACACCAGTGAAGGTAAATAAACAAATTAAACTATTTTAAAGTATTTATAGAATGTTTAATAACACTAATTATTTTTAATTAGAGTTGTGTGTCCTACCGTACGATAGGACTACCTCATATATTTGTAGAGGGAAGTAGTGGCTTATGTAAATTCGAAAGCAGCTTGGAAAATTAATTTTTAGAAAATTTACAAATATATTATGCTGCTGATAGTAGAAGATGCTGTGAAAGAACAAACCTACCTTAAGATAAGCTATTATGAAGGCAAATATACGTAAATTCTATAGGCACTTCACATTATTTGTTAAAATATTGAATAATTAAATAATTTCTGGATTAAAATCGTGTTTCTTTACATTATTATTCATAAATGCTTAAATAATCATTATTTTAATAAATAGGTCATAATTTTAACTCCAAACCCAAAAAAATAAAGTTTAAACTGATCTTCTACTCGCCATGCTAGACTTAGCAAACGCCATTATCGACTGTCTAGAATTGCCAGATGGCAGTGCTTGACCATCTGCCGTTCATGTTTTGGGCTGAATACGACGGCCGCAATCTCTCTAATATATTTTAAAAAACTACAACATTAATCATATGCTGATGTATTGCCAGAAATGGCTGGGGGTTTTATAGGGTACCATCTAGCATCTAGAGGGTCACACAGACAACCTGTCTCACAGATTCACATGCATGGATGGGATGGCAGCTGCATAAAACTTCAAGTGTTCATAATGTCTGATAAGGGCATCTTTTGGAAAAATGTTTTATATAAAAGTGTTTGTTTTTGGTATAGAATCATAATATGCAATAAGAAGTGGAGATTCCCATTCAAAAAAATAAAGTTCACCTTAGCAACATCTATTATAAAACTAATAGCCTTGTTTTACATTTAAAAAGGTTTAAAAAATGTTTTCAAATCTTTTTAAATGTAAAAAGCATCATTTCATACTACTCAATACATTTTTAAGTTATAATAATCATTTATAGACAATATTAATTATAAATGCTATTTATAAACAATTTAATAATAAATAGTAATCAATAGTAATATGAAGGGAAATGTAATTTAAATTAGTATGAAGCAAATTAATAATAATCATCATTAAAAATAGAAAATAGTTCTTAATATCCTGATGTGTATAGAGAAGATAAAGCAAAGACATTTTAATATACTCTCTCTCTCTCTCTTTTTTTTTTTTTTGTAAATTTTTTCAAAATAATGCTTAAAATTCAAACATTTGTATGCTATGAGGTGCTGAATAGTAAACTTTGAAGCTTCACAAATATAAAATATTTTACTTTTCCAAAAATTGCAAGTTGAAAAAATGAATATGAATTCCATATTCGTTTTTCAACTTGAAGATGATCTATGGAGTAGATCGAAAATGTTCGTATTTTAAATAAACTCCCTCGGCAACAGATTAGGTGTCGATTATTTTGATCATAGTAATCTATTTATCTTAGTTATAAGGGACTGAAAGTCAATTATGGTACCAATATATTAATTTGTGTATTAAATTAAGCATCTTTAATTTAAGTTAACATTATTTCAATTTATATGTTTTACTGATATTTAAAAAAAGTAAAGATACACATGTAAGAATTGTTACATATATTGTTCACATGTATAAAAAGCCCTGGCAATGGATATATTCCTAATGGCCAAATAAAGATTATTAATAATAATAATAATTCAATGTTGAATTACTTATTTTTTTATTAATAAAAATTCAAAATTACAAAAATCTAAACATTTGTGATTTCTTATTAAACTGTTCTTCAGAATAAATTACTTACAAAGTTTATAATATGCATTAATTTAAAATATAATAATAAATGCAAATTTATTATTATATTTTAAAATAGAGTTTAATATTTAAATTAACTAATAAACAATATTTCTTAAATAACTTACTTTTTGAGTAAGAATAGTTGACTTAGAACGACTTATATTTGATGATAAATCTGCTTCACACTCATCACTTGCTCCATTTTCCACTGCATATAAGTTATTTTCATTGCAATTTAATTGATCATCTATTTTAAAATATACTTATAAATTATAACATAAAATTTCTATAGTATTAAAATCATATCTTGCTAATATATTTCTTTGTATAGAATGATGATAATTAAAGAAATTGACAAAATTTTTACTTTTATTAAAAACATTTACTACTTATTATTAAAACATTAAAACTGACAATAATAAAACAAATTTTATATATTTAACCAAAATAATAAATCATAAGAAGAAAATATAAATATACCTATATCCATTACAAATACAAAATTTTGGATTTGTAATAGATGCTTTAATTTGTATTTGTAGTAAATGCTTTGATTTTTCATATTAAACATATGAGCAAATTGAAGCATTATGTTTATGAGAACTCATTAATAAGCAAACAACGAAAGAAAACATTTTTTTTTAATTACCTTTTTAATTACCAACTACATAATCATTATCAGGATATAAAAACATGTTATGTAAGTTATAGAATTCATATGTTTAATGCTATCAAGATAATGAAATGTTTAGGTGTCAAACACCTAAACATTTCATTATTAACATTTTAGGTGTAAAAAACATTCTATCACATCACATTCCGTTAAAAATAATAAGGCATTTCTGCATTCAATTTGGTTTGACTCATTATTTGTATGTAATAGAATGTTTGATTTGATGATGTATATTTATTGCAATGCAAATGTCTCAAGTTTTATAACTTACATGATATGTATATTGGAGCAAAATTAAACACTTAATATTCCAAATGTTTTATTTTTTAATTTCTCTATATTTCTTAAATTAAAAACCTTCATACACAAATACTGGAATGCATATAAATTAACACTCAAAAAACCTTAACAGTCCAGTACTAAATATTTAATAAAAAACAAATGTTTTTGACTGTACTTTTGGTCTTCTTCAAGTTTAAAAAAACCAGCAAGATTCGAAAAAGTGAATTTGAAGAACAAAAATTATGAAATTATTTTTAAAAACCTGCTTGTCCAAGAATGTTCCATGGTTTCACTTGTTCGAATCTCACTGTTTTTTTAAACTTGAAAAAGACTGAAAGTACAGTCAAAAACATTTTATTTTCTATTAAATATTTAGTACTGGACTGTTAAGGTTTTTTGAGTGTTAACCTCTATATTTCTCTGAAGACAGATCTTAAGCCAAAAATGATTAAGCATCTTTAATTTCTTAAACAAAAAGTAGCAAAAGAACTGAATTCCAGAGCTGCATCAATTAATAATTTTATTATTGATGATCATTTGTAGTTTCCAATTAAGAATTAAAACAGTAAAAAATAAAATAAATAAATAAGCAATGAAAAATGATGATAAAGCAACAACAAGCAAACTAAAAAACATTTAATAATATGTATCTGTAAATACTGTGCAATAATTGATAGTAAATATAACATTTTAATTATTAGGTTCATTAAATATGTTTATTTTAAAACTGGTTAAATCTTTCTTCATTAGACTTAATATATATTTTATCTATTCTATAAGGTTTGTTTAAAAAAAAAAACTTGTAAATTTTACTGTCTCTCTATAAAGTCTTGTATTGTCATTTAAAGTTTGTCACTTTCTTTTCTTTCAGAGTTGATAAATATCTTTGGCTAAAATTTGTCACTTACATTAAAAAAACAATAGAACAAAATACTCCAGTGTATTTGACATTTGTATTTACAATGTTGCTAACTGATATACTAGGATTCTTTTAAAAAAAATTTTCAAAAACAATGATGATTAATTTGTTTGGAAGTACTATTTAAAATTCTGCTGTTAGAATTTCTTCTAAATATTAATAAGATATTTGAAATTAATATTCAAATTTGTTAATATTCATTTAAATACTCATCAAAAATTAATGCAAGAATTGATAATTTTTCCCAATATAACAATTTTTAAAACCATAATCATTATCAATAAATATTTTATACAAACAGTATTATTAAATATTTTATATCAAATATACAATCAATTTATTCAATTGTATATCTTTAATGTTACTGAATTTTTATTCATGGACTATATACTTTCTTTTAAAGCTATGTTTTAATTGATAGATACATCTACATTAACATTAACAATATATCAATCAGAAACCAGAAGCTGAGTTGAATATCATCATCATTGTTTATTTTTAGTCCATTCTTAATCCAGATGGATTATAAGTTGTGAAATATTTTTGACTAATTATGTTGCTGAAAAAATTTAATGTCACAGACAGTTGTATAATCATCTAACATTAATATTAAATAAGCTTTAATTAATTTAGGATAATTTGAAAAAATAAAAAAATTCAGTGTTGTATTCTAATTCACAATTTATATTTTGCATCCAAATTATTGAGATGGAACTCATTTCAAATTATATACATTATAATTTATAGTATTTACAGTTATTTTTCAACAACTCAATAAGAACAATTTAGTATATTTGTAGACTCTGAACAACAGAACAAGTTAGATAAACAGTTTAAACTTGATAAATTATTTCATCTTACATGCTTAAAATAATTTTATGAATTATTATTAATAATGAGTTATTTAAATGATTTGAAATAGAATGGTTTATCAAGTTTAAACTGTTTATCTAACTTCTGTTGTTCAGTCTACTGGTATAATAAATTGCTTTTGATTGGCTTGTTGAAAAATAACTGCAATTATTACACATTGAAATTTAAAATAATATAAGAAAAATCTAAAATCTTTTTTATTCACGTAATTTACATTAAACAAAGCATGCTAAAGGACGAGACAATAAATTACAAGTATAAATTAGTCAAAGTGTGTCATTTGTTCTCTATCTGGAAGAAAAAAAAGAATAAATCAAAATGAATGACAATGATGCAATCATCTTAGCAACATACTTGTTCTTTGTGAGGAGGGAAAAAAGGTAATAAAAACATCAATTTTAAGTACATAATTGTTTTTAAAAAGGAAGAGTTTGGTTTTTTCAACATTGATGATAGACCTATGCAACAACATTAAATTTCATAATTAGTAAATAAAGAAAAATTGTGAATTTAAATGCTATAGCATATTAAGAGATTTTTATTTTTTATTTAGCTTTTGTAATATTCAACTGAAAGGTTGAGGAAATTATAAAGTTAATGGATCTTGAAATCAAATGGGACAGAAAATGATATCAAACCAACTGATGCTGTTTACTTGTTGCCAACTGCTGTATCTATTTGAACAATGAAAAAGTATTTCCAGCTCAAGCATCTAAACTGCACATAAGTGCACAATTTAGATGCTTATTTTTTGGGATTTAAAATGTGCATTCAAATTATGCAGTGAAACTTGTGTGGATACCGAGCTTCAGAGTGACATGTTCAGAAAAATAATTCTACAGGTGGATAAGGCAACTTCTAAGGATTTGGCAAAAGGCTTTAAATAAACAGAGAACGACTTAGTAGAAATTTATACATAACTGATTTGTAAATAAAATTATATTTTCTGAAAAGATTCTGGTGACAGCTGTCATAGTTTTTATCTCCAAAATTTTCTTTCAAATCTTTTCAAATTAATATAATAAAGTATATTAATTATTTTCCAAAAATATTTCAAATTGATCAAACGACTTACTTCTGCTGTAAACCAAAACAGTGCTTGTTTCCAAAATATTTTCACAAACGTTTTCGAACTTAGTTCTTCTTCAGGTGAATAAAACGGGTAGAATCGATGTTATTCGAAATCTGAACGCAATGTTCTAAGGAAACGCATGCAATCATCGTGTTAAACTTGCGCATGCTCTGTAGATAGAAGAATCGCTTTTGGCTTCTCAAGTGTCGTAAATAAGAGTTTGCCATGCTATCGATAAGGATAGTTCATCCTTATTGTTTATACACTTGTCTTCTCTTGCTGTTTTATATATATATATATCGCTTCCATCCAGCGCAAATGGTGTATTAGCTGTGTAGTGTAAATTATCTTTGCCTTGTATAAAACAGCAAGAGAAGACAAGTGTATAAACAATAAGGATGAACTATCCTTATCGATAGCATGGCAAACTCTTATTTACGACACTTGAGAAGCCAAAAGCGATTCTTCTATCTACAGAGCATGCGCAAGTTTAACACGATGATTGCATGCGTTTCCTTAGAACATTGCGTTCAGATTTCGAATAACATCGATTCTACCCGTTTTATTCACCTGAAGAAGAACTAAGTTCGAAAACGTTTGTGAAAATATTTTGGAAACAAGCACTGTTTTGGTTTACAGCAGAAGTAAGTCGTTT